CTTACTTGAAAATTTTCAAGTGTAAAGCATTCATGCATATGCCAAAAGAGCAGAGGTCAAAACTTCATAATAAAGTCACATAGTATGTGTTTGTAGGATATAATGATGAGAAATTTAGCTACAGAGTATGGGATCCAGTGAAAAAAAAGATAGTCAAAAGCAAAGATGTGATTTTCTATGAAAAAATCATAGTAGACCTTGAAAAAAATGAAAAGACTACACAGATTACTATTAAGTATGATGTTCAACACCGACAGAGGTTTCATAGAAAAAGCCATATATGATGAAAATGAGTAAGAAACAAAACTTAAGGATACGAATAAGTCAACTACAATTAATGATGAGCCAAATGCAATTAGTTTTTAGTAGGAGAGCAATACTCTCAACCTGAGAGTATTGAGCAAAGTGAGCAGTCCTCTCCACTAAAGAATGTTGAGCAAGAAAAGCTACTTTCGACATCAAGTGGTGTAGAGTCTCAGCTTAAGAGATTACCAAAGAGCACAGATTATCTATCAGGTATCCAAATTCATATTTTATTTTAATTACCGATGAAATGGAGCCAAAAAGCTTCTAAGATATGTAAACTACTCCAAATAGAGAATATTGATTAAAAGTAATGAAAAAAGAGATAGAGTCGTTGCAAAAAAATGGTATATATGATATTTTTAAACTTCTGAAAGGGATGAGGTCGTTGAAAAATTAATGGGTATTCAAGCTAAAAAAGAAAGGTGATAAACTAATGAGGTACAAAGCTCGGTTAATGATAAAGAGTTTTTCTCATAAACCTGACATCGATTTTGATGAGATTTTTTCTTTAATTGTAAAGATGAATTCTATTCGAATGGTACTGAGATTAGCAACTAGTTTGAATCATGAGCTTGAGCAACTTGATGTTAAGATTGTATTCTTACATGGTGACTTGTAAAAAGATATTTATATGGATCAGCATTAGGGTTTTGAAGTGAAAAAGAAATAGCACTTAATTTGCAAACTGAAAAAAAAAAAAGCTTGTATGGCTTGAAACAAGCTCCATAATAATGGTATAAAAAGTTTGATTCTTTTATGGTGAGCCACAACTATAAATGAACGACAACGGATCCTTATAAGTATGTCAAAAAAAATTTTGATGGTAACTTCATTATTCTCTTACTATATATTAATGATATATTAATTATGGGATAAGATGTTGGGATGATTCGCAAGATGAAAAAATAATTGTCTAAGTTCTTTAACATGAAATATTTAGATCCAACAAAATAAATTATTGTTATAGATATTATTCAGGATAGGAAAGTTGAAAAGCTATGGTTATCATAAAAAAAATATGTTGAATGGGGGTGTTTAATAGATTTGATATGCAACACACTAAATCAATTAACAGCCTATTTGCTAACCATTTTTATCTGAGTAAGAAATCTTATCTGATGACTAAAGAAGAGTAACTAGCTATCTCTAGTATTCATTATTCTTCTATAGTCAGTTTTTTTATGTATCTTCTGGTTTACACACAGCCAGACATTGCTCATGTAGTTGGTGTAGTGAAGCTAATCCAGAAAAGGTTCACTGGGAAATAATAAAATAAATTTTTAAATATTTAATGGGTATCTCAAAAATGTGCTTAAGTTATGGAGTTTTACAACGAGTTCTAGAATGGTTTATTGATGCTGATATGGCAAGTGATCTTGATAGTAAAAAATCTACTTCAGGGTATTTATTCACTTTTGCAGGAGGAGTTATGTCTTGGCAGTCTAAGTTACTTAAGTATGTTATTTTGTCAACTACAGAGGCTGAGTATATTACAGCAATTGAAGTAAGTAAAAAAATCCTTTGGATGAAATATTTTATTTTTGCATTGGTGTTGAATTAAAAAGAATATCTGATGTTTTGTGATAGCATAAGTGTTTTAGATTTGAGTAAAAATGTCATGTTCCATGCTAGAACAAAGTACATTAATGTTAAATATCGCTGGTTACATTTAGTGATTAAAGAACGACAGATACTGTTGAAGAAAATTCATACTAATGAGAATGCAGCAGATATGTTAACTAAGATATTTCTCAAAAAAAAGTTTGAGCTCTACAGTAACTTGGTCAGAATTGGTTCCTTGGCCAAGGTAAGTTCCAAATGAAATTATTATGGTGATGAATCTCCTACTATTGGGATTGAAGGGGGAGATTATTAGGAAGTGTAGGGTTTAACCTCATTGGTTTTGGCCAATTAAAAGGCCTAAAGTCTTTTTTGTCTTTGATCAAAGAAAGCCTTACTTAATAAAAAAAAAAAAGGGCAGTTTTGGCATCAAAGGGTGAGGCATCAAATAGAAAAAAGAAAAGCCAAAAAAATTCAAAAAAAAAAAAAGGAAAAAGAGAGAATTGGTTGAACGAAAAGTCGATTCATGATCCGATTGAGTGAAATTTTGTCAGTAGGTTTATGATTTAGAGTTTTATATTCTGAACAGCGAACATCTGATTTGAAGCTCTCTAGAAGCAAATCCATAATATATTTAGTAAGTCATCTATTTGTGAGATTTCTCTAATTATCTCTCTAGTTGTTGATTAGCTTTAGTTTCAGCTAGAGAAAAAGTTTGTATATCAATTATTTGATAGTAAAGATTTTTTTGGTGATCCATGATTTTTTTTCTCTATAGTAGAGTGTTTTTCACGTAAATCTTTATGTGCTTTATTTTTTTTTATATTTTGAATTATTGATTATTGTCTATTGCTATAAATTTATTACGATATATTATTTTTGTATTGTTGTATTTGTTACTTTAAGCTCAACAAAAAAAAGTGTCTTTTGAAAAAGTTAAAGAATGAAACTTGCAGAACCATGTGGAATACAATACTAAAATGTAAAAGTGACTATAGTGAATAGTAGGATCGGAGTAGTATCTATAGATAAATAGATAGATAAATAGATATATAAAAGATGACAAGGAGATAGGAGGGGTAGTAAATAAAACCTGAAGGAGAGGGTGAGAGCGATGAGAAGGGAGGCAGTGGGTGCAGATGCTACGGCAACACAGCAAGCAGAAGATGTTCTTCTCGTTCTTCCTTTGATTCTCGTGAGCCCCACAAACCCCAGAGAATGTCTTTGCCATTAATCCCTCAAGCCATGCAAGTTTAACAACCATTTCCATTACCTTCCCTTCTTCTTCTTCTTCAACAACAGTAACTACACCACCACTCCTATTAATTAATAATAATTAATTACTATTATTAATTATACAGTTGTCATTTTATAACCCTCTCACTCTCTGAAAAAGAATAATAAATTATGCAGTTGATACAGAATTTGGTTTTAATTTTGATTTTTTAAAGCTTTATTTTAATTTTATACTGTGTGAACTTCAAAACTCTATGCTCTAATGCTTTAGTTTTATATATATATATATATATATATATATAATATACTTGATATACAAAAAATACAAATTTGAGTTTGTTTTAGTAATATTTTTCCACAAAAACACACACACGCAAGGGAATTGGTAGTATGTTTATATTAATGTCCACTGTATGTTAAGTAAACTTCTCCAAACAAAAGGAAAAGGTTGAGCAGCAGATTATAAACTTAATTCATTATATTAGTAGTGTATTGATCGGTAATTCCGAGTTCCAGAGATGCATTATGTCGAGGGTTGTAATTTGATATGGGGTTCAATAATATTAATATGCATGCCCTGCGATGACCCATGCATGACTGCTTTCGTGATGAGCATTACTTTTTTTCTTTTTCTGGGCATTATATATATAGACTAAAGACAGACGAACTTCACCAATATTGGCTAATTATAGATAGAATCAAGTGAGGTTATTTGACCATTTTTTATTTTATTTTATAGATAGAAAATTCACCAATTATAACGCCCTGGATATTGTTTCTTGGGCCAACATCCCACTCAGTGGTTGGTCTGGTCAACTACTTCAAACGCTAGCTCGTTTTTCTGTCAGCCACTGACCCTGGGACTTTGTGGGTTCTTATTAGATGGGTCAATTGTCTAAATTCCAAGTTAAATTTCTGGAAGATGATTGGGCTTGGGTGCGGATGACGTAATATAGTTCAATACCCAGAATTTCAGATGGAGTTCTTAAATATTTTATTGATGGCGAACAAAGTGAATATCTTTCTGGCTATTCTTTTAGCACATTAAATTTTATGTTTTGATTTTGGAAGAGGAATTCAGAATCACTTGCTTCAACTCTCAAAATCAATTTAGTTAGAAATATACAGATATGACCGATTCGTAGATGTAACAAGAAATTAAGGGTTACTTTGAATTAAAGATAAATAAAATTTCTACTAGAATTTGGTTGTGATTAAGATTGATTAACCAATAAAGATGATTTGGTCATGAACCATGGTGGAAAATGATATGCCAACAGCTATCAGATGATGTGATCAAACCGAAGCAGAAAATATCCCTCTTAGTGCAAAATAATCAAGTACACATATGATATATGGTCAAATGGTGGAGTCCATACATACGTACATATATATATATATATAGTTTATTTGCTTTGCATGATCTCTCTATTATTAATTTTAAGAATAATAAAGGATGAAATAAATTCCGAATAATAATAAGCAGAAGAAGACAAGAGCAATTATGTCAGTTTGGTTACTTGCATTTGCATATATAGCATAGAGAGTAATCCCCTTGATTTAGTTGAAAGAAACGACAATTGCATTGTTTAAAATGTTGCTTTTGATTGGATATATATATATATATATATAAGTCGGTCGATATGTTGATAATAATAATAATATAATAATAATAATAATAATAATAATCCTCCAAAAGGAAGGACAAGATGACAAAACCATTAGATCAGTCAACAATTAAGAAATGGTAATTCCTTGTGTCAAAGGTTAAAAAAAAAAAAGTGCAGTATCTCGCTGTTTATCCATCCGAAAAAACATCGCCCAGGAGGCAATACCTAGCAGGCACGGCAGTTGGTAATGCAGCAATTGGGATAGGAAAGAGAGGGTATTTAGGGCATTTCATACATGTCCAAACTCCATCAGCAGGTGGTTAACTCGTTCATTCATACTTGTCTTGCTTTCTACTGTTCCTTTTCCCCCTTCCTCCTCCCTTTCTATAAGCTAAGCAAAGCAAAGCAAATCCAATCCGCATACGCTAAAAAAAAAAAAAAAAAAAACACTGAGATCTAGCAAAATAGCAACCCTGTTTTAAGAATGAGGGAACCGACGATGCTGGAGGGGATAGACAGCAACGCTGCATCTGGGCCGCTGCCTCCGCCGACTTCACCCCCGCAAGCTTTACTCGAGAGGCTTAAGGATTATGGCCAGGAAGATACTTTCGCCCTATGGGATGAGCTTTCCCCTGATGAACGCCACCTCCTCGTCAAGGATATCGAGGTCTTTTCTTCTACATCTTTAACTTCACTTACTAACCACCACAATCCGATTATTGCTTCGCTCTCTAAACATCCAAAAACGCGATTCATTTTTCCTTTCAACTTTCAACTATAACTTCTTTCTTCCATTCCAACTATTCAATTTCATTTCTAAATTTTGTAACTTTTGACTGCAATTCTTTAATTCCAAGCAAGTTCGACTCATACTATTCAAATTCGATCGTCAATCTTGAACCCATTGATTATAAGATTGTCTTCACCTAGAAAAATTTTGAATTGAACTAAGTAAATTTTTTTTAAATAATTGAACTTTGGTTTGCATACTTCAGAGTTTGGATCTTTCGAGAATTGATCGGATCATACGCTGCTCTCTTCGATCTCAAGGTGCGTGTATATATAGAAATCCTTAGATTGCGTTCTTTCCTTTATCCCCGCTATTTTGGTTTTTTTTTTTTAAATTTTTTAATATGATTTTGTTTTCTTGGGAGAATTTTAGCACTGCCGGTGGCAGCACTAGAGCCAGTGCCGGAGAGTTGCGTGTCATCGGTAGAGGAGAGAACGATGGAGGAGAGGGAAAGGTGGTGGAAGATGGGATTGAAGGCTATATCTGAAGGCAAATTGGCTGTCTTGCTTCTATCTGGCGGCCAGGTATATTATCTATCTCCATTTTTTTTTTTTATCTTTTAGATGCTGTAGATTTATTACATACAATACTTAATGATGTGGGTCTTCTTCTTGCTTCCTGTTGATCTATATTTTATGTCTCACCTAGAAAGATTTAATAATTAAATGATACTGTTATTAAGGGTTCGGCTGAGGAGTCTTTCTATCTCTGACCATAATTTTGGAATGATGTTGCTTTTGAGTGGTTCCCACTTTAGACATTTTTGTAACCAATTTGTTCACTTATTAATTTATAAAGCAGAGCCCCTAAAGTCTTAAGTGGGTAATCACTATTTACTAAAGGTTGGTATGATGTTGCTTTATTGGATGTCTAGTAATGATAACTAGTGATAAAGATATGTTAACTTAGAAAGTGGATGCTTCAATCTGTTTCTGCGTATAATTATTGTTTAGTTAAAAAGATGCTTTGCAGGATTCTATACTTTTTCATCACTGAAAAAGGGATCTAAATCTGCTTTATGGATAATAGACCCTGTTGAGTAACCCCTTTTTATTTCCCATTTTTCTCATTCTTTTGTCTTATCTCTGTATTATTGAAATGTGTTGCAGGGAACTCGGCTTGGAAGTTCAGATCCCAAGGGATGTTTCAGTGAGTACTTTTACTCATTGCTGACATGGTTTTGAAAATCTTATTCTACATTCAAGTTTCTTTGGATGATGCTTGTCTTCTAATTTTTTGGTGTTGAACAGGAAATGTTCAGGGAATGTCCTTTGTGGAAATTAAAACAGTTAACCCATGTTTAATGCTTTTCTATCCTCACTCTTCTTGGTTACCAAACTTTCTGAATTCTGAAATTATTGTTTAATTCTGAGCCATACCACAAATTTTTATAAAATTGAGGATGATACGGTTCTGGAAAAAAATTAAGCATAATGGTTAACACTATAATATCCAGGCCATGTAAGGATTAATCAGAAAGATTTAGAAGGAAGCATGTTTATAAATCTAAAGCAATTGAGGAGAGAAAAAGTTAAGTAAAGAATCTGTTTGATAATTAATGATGTTGGAAACGTTTTCTTAAATATTTGAATAGCTTTAGTTGTTTTGTTTAGAAAAGTCTGTATGTTATTACCTCAAACATTTATTTTTTATATTTTTTGCATTTTGATTTTAGATATTGGACTTCCTTCTGGGAAGTCACTTTTTCAACTGCAAGCTGAGCGGATTTTGTGTGTTCAAAGGCTAGCTGCACAAGCTATGAATGAGGGTAAACGTCTTATCTATCTACTCTGCATGATTCTATTCTGTTTGTAGGTTATCCTGATGATTTGATATCTGCAGGTTCAGTGACAATACACTTGTACATAATGACTAGTCCATTTACTGATGATGCAACTCGCAAATTCTTTGAGAGTCATAAAAACTTTGGTCTTGAAGCAGATCAAGTACGATGGTTTCTGATTCTCTGATTTCCTTATGGTTTATCTTTTGTTAGTTTTGCTTACTTTGAAGCCTGGACATGGTGCAGGTTACTTTTTTCCAGCAAGGCACCATACCTTGCATCTCAAAGGATGGTAGATATATTATGGAGACTCCATTTAAGGTATGGTTTCTTTTTGTGAATGAGCTGGTTTGGAGTGACATTTTCTTTTGGTTGAGTGTAAAATAAAAGTTCAAGTTATACTTCAGAATCTCAGCTGGAGATATAGTTGTATTTGCCCTAGAAGTTTCAGCACATTTTTTAGAGGTGAACAAAGTCCTTTGACTGTTCTACGTAGTACATAGCTAATTCACATCAGATGTTAACAAATACTATTATGACATTGCAACATCACTGTAAGGCTTTGAGAATTCTTTTAAAGGAGTGCTGAAAGGATAGAAGTAAAATTACTTGTCTGTAAGTTTTAGGAGGAAAAAGCCACTTCTGATTATATTGTGTAATTTGACAGCAGGATGTCTGCTACACTATTCACCTTGTAGTATCCCTTTGATTGCACTAATACTTAATGGTTTTTCATTTGGCTGACAAATAATAATCTTTTATTTCACAATTTGCTTCTTGTTCTAAGTAGCAAACTTATTCAAATGTGGTGGTCACGAGTACCTTTTTTTAAGCCAGGTAGCTAAGTCTCCGGATGGGAATGGAGGAGTATATTCAGGTATTTTGAAAACAATTTACAAATGGGTTGTGTTTGCTGTTCAACTAACTGCTAAAGTGTCCTTGCTTCTTCTATTGTATGAATATTTAATTGGATTCCTTTTTATTTGTAAGCTCTGAAATCTTCAAGATTGTTAGAGGATATGGCCACGAGAGGGATTAAATATGTAGATTGCTACGGTGTTGACAATGCATTGGTGAGTTAGTTTATCTTACTTTATTTGTTTGGTTAAAATTTTCTTGATATTTATTATTTAAAGAGACACTGATTATGGTCTCGAATGCAGGTTCGTGTAGCCGATCCAACTTTCTTAGGATATTTCATTGATAAGGGTGTAGCCGCTGCTGCTAAAGTTGTCCGAAAGGTAGTTAATGTTCTCAATGTTCAAGCATATCTGATAACTTCAGTTGCATCAATTGCTTAACTCTTTTTTACTACATTATCTATATTTGAGACAGGTATTAGGCTGGAGGATTGCAACAGTTGAAAGCATTTGTTCTATCTCTGTCTTGTTTTCTAAACTATCAGTTGAATACTTGAGTTCTGATACCTCTTTGAGCTTTCTTTGGGTCTTGCAAATAAAGATGAGGGAAAAAAAGGAAAGAAAATAGAAAATAAAGAAGAGTGATTCATCTGATTTGCAACTGGTGACATTTCATCTCTAGTGAATTATGAACGTGATATTGATGTTGAAAATTCCATTTATTGAGCTGTGATTTGTCTTTTTAAATATGTAGGAATGGTCATGCCTTTCCATTTGTTTATTCTTTTGTACCATATGTTTCACTTACCTGTAGTGCTACATCTAAGTCACCTCTTATGTCATGTAATGTGCTAATGTGCTAATTCTTCCATGAACTATGCAGCACCTTGTTTAACTCCACTTGAAGAATGCCAATTCCTTGATGGCATGACAATGCTTAGTCGTTTTGTTGTATAAACTTGTGGAACTTGATAATATTATAAACTTTAATATTTTTTAAGGTTTTATCATGTGTTAATTTCTTCTAGTAATTTGGTTACAGGCCTATCCCCAGGAAAAGGTTGGTGTTTTTGTAAGGCGAGGTAAAGGTGGACCACTTAGTGTGGTTGAATACAGTGAATTAGATCCATCACTGGCTTCTGCAATTAACCAGCAAACTGGACGGCTTCGTTTTTGCTGGAGTAATGTATAGTATTTGCCACCTATTTTGATGAAATATTGCTTGCTTTTGATGAAATCTAGTGCTTTTTGGATTAAAGTATACTGTATCTCTAGGCTTTTTTGAGGCTTTTGTATGTGAGATTGTATGCGTGTTAGGTTGTAGGCTTAGGTGAGAGTTGAAGTTGGTACTCATAGGATTAAATAACATTGTTGAAATCATTTCAAGAAACAAAAACTTGAAGGTTATGGAAACTGTGTGTTGCTTGTGAACCATGCAACTTGGCTGTGCACTTCCTTGCTTTCAGACTTGAATGACTTTGTTTACTGGTTAGATGTAGATTTTATGGAAAATTGAAAATTATTGCTAAATAGATAAATGCTCCAGAATAGTCAAAATTTCAAAACAATTATGTTCTTTGATGGCATTTTATCATCCATGGAAACTGCAGTTTTCAATTGAGATTTATCGTTTTATCAAATGACTGTGACATTGAAATACCTATAATATTTTTGCAATATCATATGAAGCTAAACATGAGTGATTATATATCTTATGCTAATGACTTTATGCTTTCCAGGTGTGCTTACACATGTTTACTTTGGATTTCCTAAACCAAGTGGCAAATGGCCTTGAGAAAGACAGCATGTTAGTGATGTTTCTCCTTTCCTTCATGATACATACTATTTTGTTCTGTTATGCCTTGTACTGAGCATTGCTTTATCAATAAGTGCTGTTATTGAGGTAATTATAATCTATTAGTAAAATGCAAATCCATGTGCTGCATGGTGGATGCGTATCCTCTCTCTCTTTGAACTGAAAACAAACATTATCAAAGAGTCTTTCTGTTTCCTTTGCACTATCTTTTCAAGCTGATAGCAATTGTTTTGATCCCAGAAATTTTCTGAAATGATAGTTTTCTCTGAGCTCCTTGAGAAAGAAAAGAAGCTGAGCTCATAGGGTCCTTTGGGATACAGGGTTCATGGATGCATTAAGTAATACAATTTAATTGATCTATCTTTTCTGTCTTTAAGAGTATCTGACATTAATTTTTATAATTTCTCGGTACCTTTATGTATTGGATGTGTCATTTCTTTTTAATGCCTTCCCACTTAACCGTCAAATAGATGTTAATGTCTGCATTTGTCTTGACTGAAGTTACCATCTGGCGGAGAAAAAAATTCCTTCTATCCATGGTCATACAATGGGTTTGAAACTAGAGCAGTTCATATTTGATGCATTTCCGTATGCTCCTTCGACTGCTTTGTTTGAGGTGATCACCTCCCCTTTTATATTTTCTGATATTTTTTCACTGTATATGGAAAATGTAACAAGGGATTAATTACTCATCTAAATCTTTATGTTTCCAAATATGCAGGTATTACGAGAGGAAGAGTTTGCACCAGTGAAAAATGCCAATGGCTCGAATTATGACACCCCAGACAGTGCAAGGCTGCTTGTTCTGCGACTACACACTCGCTGGGTAGTGGCTGCAGGGGGTTTCTTAACACATTCAGTGCCATTATACGCAACTGGTAATTTCATGGTTGACTATGTTTATAGCAAGCTCTATTAACATTAATTTTCTTCTATGTTTTTGGATCTCTTAGTGGTTTATGGTGTATAATATGTTATTATCATGTTTTTCTTAATGCTTTTGACATCTTTGATCATGAACCCAGGTGTGGAGGTATCACCGCTTTGTTCTTACGCTGGAGAAAATCTAGAGTCCATATGCCGTGGAAGAACTTTTCATGCGCCTTGTGAAATCGCATTCTAGTTTGACTTATATCCGCTTATTCTTGATTTGTGCGGGCTATTTGGTTGAAAATGTAGGGATTGTCAATTTTATGGCATGGATGGTGGGTGAATATGCTAATGCACGATATAAAGATTTTGCAATATTTGATGCTTGTGATTTTGTTCTATCCATTTATGATTATTAAGTAGTGTGTTTGGTGCATTAATGCAATTGTGGTTCGCACGTCTGTTTATCATTTATCAATTTGGATTCATTCCTCTACTCAAAACTGAGTATTAACCATTGAACGGTTTCCGAAGACACTACATGCTACCTTTAATCTGTTTGTAAAATAACCAAAACCAATAATTTCATAACAGTCACATAAGGTAAGTTATCAGTGTGCTTACAATTATTTCAATGGGGCATTAAGACTGATAGAGAAAAAAATCATAGGGCTTTTTCCTTTTTTTTTTTTTTTTGCCCAATCATCGCAGGGCTTCTTCAACAATAGGGTGATACGCCAAGCAGGGGCTCCATCCCAGCCAATTGATGCTGAAGGAACCTATATACCGACTCAGTTGTTGTCGAAGCTATCCGAACAACGACACCAATTCCCTGAAACGCATAGCACAAACATTTCCTTTTTCTTGACTATCAAGCCAACTTATTTATATGAAAGGGGAGAGGGAGACTTTGGAAGTAACTTAAGATAGAACTTTCACGTGCATTAACAAAATTGATTGAGAAGATAAAAAAGAAACAGTTAAAAATGAGTAAATGAACATTTCATTTGGACAGAACTGACATCAAAGTCAAATCTCCCTTTACCTGCTTATAGAGCAACATTACTTGTGCTCTCAATTTTGGTTGTGCATAGCAAAATTGTTTACAGCTTTGAGGGTTACATAATCTAATATATATCGACATCAGAATAATAAAAATGCTGGCGTCCTTCTTTCAACTAGTTGAATATGAAAATGCAGTCAAAGTAGACAGATGCTAACCAGGAAAGAAAGAGGAATGACAACTCAGTTAGCTGTTTCCACAAAAGCTCACCAAAACAATGTATTGTTATTTGCTAGAAAGAGAGAGGGAACCGAGAATGGGGATAACAAGTAAGCATGAATTTAATGCAATAACAGAACTGGTATGGTGTCAGCTAGATCTGATGAAAGTACCTTTGGACCAAAGACGCTGCAGGACGCAATAAAAGCTGGCCTGGTTAAACAATTATGAGAACTTGTTTTAGCATGGTGCCCCAAGCTAGTGGAAGGAATGTGTAATTGCTGAGACATCATCCTCTTCACATTTTCTTGAACTTGGTCTTGAACAATCTTCAGCTTTGGGCTACAAGAAAGTTCCTTTTGTCAAATCCCTTTCTGCATAAATGAATTTAATAGAATCACATCAGCAAAATAACGGACACTGAATTATCTACCCATAGATTATGACCATTGCAATGACTTGGTAGTCGTGCATACGTTCTGCTATACTAGCAGGGCTGGATTGTTCTAGCAATACCTACAATTTAAAAATTAAAAAAGAAAAGGCAAAAAGTATGAGGCAAATCAAAACAAAGTTCTAGGAACTCACATAAAAAACTTAATTTCTTCAAAATGAATAACTTGTTAGATGACAACATTGATGAAAGGGAAACGCAATAAGAGAATGTTAAAAAAACAATAATAATAAAAATTTATCCATGAAGCACTATTTCTTAAATGCATAAGTATTAGAGAATAAAGAGCATTCACAGATTAGCATTATAACTTGGACTAGTAATGAGAATATTACGGTGTCAAGAAATACAGGTTGATTGTCTTCAGCGAATATGTTGTTGGTGCTCCTATAGAGTTCAAAATCCCATTTTTCCCCACTTTCATGACGACCACTGGTACACCAATCGACAACGACCAAACTTGAGTCCGAAACCAATCTAAAGACCTGTTTCTGAGAATATCTTGCAGTGGCAAAACATGTGACTGGGTCTGGAATGACTGCGAATAGAGCACCACTACCAATTCTTGCCTACTGTATGGCAAAGCAAAAATTAGCCATTGTCACTAAGCACACTCATCTGAACATGGTCAAAATGTAGAATCTTTCTATAAAATGTTTCACATAACTAAGATTTTACAATAAAATTTTGTTTATGCATCAGTTTGCATTTTGCATCTTGGGTAAGCACTAAGGAGGAGAGTTACCTCCAAGACTTGTTCAGAACACTTAGAGCCCAAAGACTTGTAGACCTATACCAGAACAAAAATGATAAATTGTTAAGAAATCAATTCAGTCATAACCCAATCTGTAGTGCAATTAATAACCCCATCTAAAGACCAGAAGATAAAGATCAAACCTTTGTAGAGGCTTGGGTAGTAAGAACAGCAGTGCAACCATCTCCAATTGTAAATTCGACTGAAATAGAATCTCCCTAACATAGAAAGTGATGCACATATTCACACATAAAAAGAAAGAAAGTTATGATACAAAGATTGATGATTGACTAGAGCAAGCATACTGAGACAATTCCACCGCCATAAGTGAGGCTGTAAATCCAGACAGCATCGGTTTTGGAAGGACCCGCCTGAGGAATCATCAGCTTCAGTTCACAGATGAGAGGATACAGATAGGACTTAAAAACACTTATTATCTAATGTAAGAAGAGAAAGAACCTTTCTTGGGATAATGAATTTAAGGGGATACTTTGAGAAACTTCTTGTCACTGTTGACTTTCTTCTCACCTTCTCCACCACCACTTTTCCCTTCTCCATTTCTATCTCTCTACCAACTCTTTCTTTCCGTTTACCACTTCCAGTAAACAACATTTGGGCCCATGGTCTCCGCTAAACCTACGACTTAGTGGGTTGGCACTGGCTCCTTGGTATTCCCATTAACGCGATTAAAACAAAATCAATGACATTGCTTTGAAATGGGTTTCTTGTGTTGGATTTCTCTACCACTTTCAAAAAGTAATAGGAGAAATAGAAGCCCACTAAGCTCTTGGCTAAAATACCCAATATGCCCATTGGGTTCGATTTGCTTACTGATTTATCTATCTCAGCCGAATCGAAGCACAAAACAAAAAAACCAATCGGATCTCGCTAGGTTTGTTTCTCATCCTTTCATTTGCATTTCATTTTATCAAATAAGCTTGGTTTTAAGATTAAGGCACCATTTACGTAATGGGTTTTCTTCCATAAAACCTTCTGAATCTCAGATTATAACTCTCGGTGCTTTCAACTCAAACAGATTGTCTCGAAATTTTAGTCAGCCCGCAAAGCAAGAACAAGTAGTCGAGGAAGAAAAAGAAGTTGAGATTGATCAAAGGAGAATCCCTGCCGACTATCATCCTTCTAATTTCGATCCAACCGAACACCGTACTCCTCCAACGGAGCGTGTTTGGAGACTCGTTGATGAAATCTCTGGACTTACTTTATCTGAAACTGCCGAGTTAGGCTCTGTTATAACGAAGAAACGTGGAATGACTGAGCCGCCGACTGTGGGAGTCATGAAGGCTGGTGCTGCTGCTGACTGGTCTGGAATGGCAACGAAAGTGACAGGTGGTGCGGCGGCGGCTAAGGAAGAGAAGAAACCAGATAAGACTGTTTTCGAATTGAAATTGGAGTCAAATGAAGCTGCTTCGAAGATTAAAATAATAAAGGAGGTCAGGAGTTTTACTGATTTGGGTCTAAAGCAAGCCAAGGACTTGGTTGAGAAAACGCCATTTATCTTGAAAAAAGGTGTCTCAAAGGAAGAAGGTGAGCTAATAAGTGAGAAGATGAAGGCTGTTGGTGCTAAAGTTGTTTTGGAATGAACATTGGGATTTTTACGAAACTACAACGTTGCAAATCCTCAACAATTGTAGTTTGAAGTGCCCAAAAAATTAACTCTCATACTCTGTTGATCGTTGAGCTTTATCAAGTTGGAATCTTTTAATCAGTTCATTTTTTATTACTATGTTGTTTACTTTTAGTAGAATAATTAAAATGATTATCAATTTCAAAATGCTAACTAGATGTTAACCCTCTTCAATTGTTGTAATACAAGTTTCTTACCTTTTTGGCCCAATTCTTTTACTCATGCATCTTTCATTTCATTTGCTACAACTACTGGGCCTGGGAAGAAGCAAAGAAAACACTAGAGCATGCTTCTAATCTGTTGATAAGGAAAAATGTTGGGATGATCAAGGGGGGAAGATGGTAGCCCTTATATCACATGTTATTGAATTCCATTTACAATGTGACTTCTCCCTGTTGTTCCATTGCTCTTCTTGCAATGCAATGTTCTTTTTCTTTCCGTTTGAAAGAATTTATAGAGGAGCAATATGTTAAGGATCAATAGGCAGAACACAACTTAATTTGGAAGACTTCATTTCCGAACCAGAAGAAATGATGAACGTAAATATTGTCTAAGAGCAGGACACTTTTGTAATGCTCCCTTCTATGTTTTCCCCTGCAAGGCTTCGTTCGCTGTGTTTGAAATATTCTTCAGATAGTTGTTCTCAGATTACATCTAAAGTGAACTTATAGAAATTCTCTTGACCGAAGAAATTATTTCATTTGATGAATGGAAGAACTGGAACCAAGAATACGCAATTGGCCATGTTTGTTTTTCTAATTGCCGGTCTGGACTCTAGACAATCTAAATTAAGATCTCTTATTCTATTATTTTGGAAAATTAAAAACAGCAAAAATTTGTCCGGTACAACACTGCGGGGATCAACTTATTAAAAATAAACACAATATTTCTTACCTGTGAAGATACAGTCATATAAATTGCACAACATTGTGGCATACTCATGCATCCTCCCGCAACTATGGTGTTCCCGTAGGAGCTCCGGTAGAACCAAAAAAGGAAAACTGCAAGTATCAATGCCTAAAGTGCCTCACATTTGTGAAAAGCAATGAAACTCCATACTTGTTACAACAGTCAACGGCATCCCCATCTCTAATGCTCCCACCGGGCTCAGCAATGACTCCAATACCACTTTTGCAAGCTTCTTCCACTGCATCTTTCCAAGCTATTTATCCAACAAAACATCACTATTAGCAAACACATTGTAGTGGCTCTTTGCCAATTCTAGGTCTACGTCCAATTTAAGCTAGGTTAGGAATCAAATCATCGCTCTATTGCATGCCAGCACATATGTCCATTACTGGCCAACATTTTCCAATATTTACTTGATTAACTTTACGTATGTGTATATATATATATATATATATATATATATAAAGTGTAAACAGCTTTTAAGGCAGTAATTACCAAAAGGGAAGAATGCATCACTAGCCAAAGCAGCTCCCTTGACCTCATCTCCTGCTTTCCTCGAAGCAATTCTCAAACTCTCCAGACGGTTTGGCTGCCCACTTCCCATACCCAACATACGATTGTCCTGACAATGATGTCAAAGGGTCAGAAAATCTACCAATACTGTGCTTTCCTTTTCAGGGCTGTTTTGTCCCAACTGTTTTTAGAAGATGGACGAATATATTTATCATAAGAATCTCTGCTAACAAGATTATTTAAGCACAATTTTAACCAGAATTTAGGATATCTGCAAAATAAAAGTACAAACCTTTGCTATTACAATAGCATTGCTCTTGACATGCTTCACACATAGCCATGCAAATTCTGCATCATGAAGCTCACTATCTTGTGGCTTCTTCTCAGATACTACATTGAACTGGATATCTTGGGGGATCAAGTCATCTGAATCCTGGGCTAACCAACCGCCACCAACTTGTCGAAGTGAGAGCTTTCCTTTCTCATTCTTCTTTGCCTCAAGGATCCTCAATGTCTTTGATTTTCCACAGAGGATCTCAAGCCCCTTTTCTGTATACTTGGGAGCCACGATAATCTCATAAAACATTCGAGTTTCACCATCCGTTGGGCTTCGGAACTCTCGAATTTCCCTAGCAAGAGTCTAAAAGCCAAACAAAGTAAGCAATCATAATGTCTAAAAGTGTTCTCTATCTTGATGTTGAAGGTAGCATATAGATAAGATGATATTCAACAATCCCACTCCCAATATCTAGTGATACAATGGCAGCACAACTACATATAAGGATTCCAAGAAGCTTATTAACTCACCTCATCCACTTCTATGTTGAAGGCCACAATTCCTCCAAATGCACTTACTGGATCTGCTTTCACAGCCAGGCTGTAAGCCTCAAGGATATCATCACGAGAAGCTACCCCACAGGGATTTGTGTGCTTTACAATCACACATGTAGGGTTCCTAAACTCCGACACACAATTCCATGCTGCATCAGCATCTAAATAGTTATTGTATGACATTTCCTGCACCAAGATAAAAAGAATTAAGGATATGCCATAGAACAAAATTGACAAGTAAACATAACACAGGCTGAGACCTAAATTGGAAAAAAAAAGAAGAATCAGAGTGCCCCAATTTGTTAAGGCTTTTATGTCCCCAACCACAACAATAAAAAAAAACAGCAATGAAACAACATACCCTCAAAATAGGCAATAATAAAATTTAATCCAGATTTGTATGATAGAAGCCAAAATCTTGTCAGCAAAAGACAATAATTGGAAAGGCAGAAGTATAGTGACTAACAAAAGCTTAATATCCATTAACTGAGTTTTATCAACAAAGCAAGGCTCCAAAAATAAAAATGGTAAAAGCAAATACTTTCTTGGATAAGAAACACTAGGAAGGAAAATCAGGCTAGATGATTCAATAATTCATCTATTCCTTAACTTATTCAAAAGCCTAACCAATTCTGGAGTATAAATAATAATAAGATCACGAACTCAATCGATCTCACCTTCCCATGGTGTTGAATAGCAGTTGCAATTCCACCAGCATTGACCTCAGAGAGACTCTTGTCAACATAAAATGCAGCCTTCTGATGAGGATTTTCACCATAACGAAGTGGACTTTTGAGGGATAGTGGCACCGTCAAGTTGGGAGGGAATTTATCTTCCAACAGACAAACAATTCTGTCAATCTAAATTTGTAATAATTATAGGTAGCACTAGATAAACAAGTTCAATGAGTTTGTAACATTGTTTCTTTGCAAAAGAAAAGTATTTTCCTTTTATTTGTTAGTATATTCTGTTAGGTCAGGCCTCAGCTTATGGCATTAAAAGTCTCTTTCTTTTCTTCCAAACATAATCAAATGACTAGAGACCATTTCCACTACAATGACCAAATTTATGTTTCAAAGCTAACACATAAGTAAGAGAATACCTCCCACAGTCTGTTTCCAGAGCCACTCTGAAACTGCAGAATCATAAGAAGCAACATGTTCAAAAGCCTTCCAAGCAAGCTTTCTGCGGAACTGTTGATCATCCTTACTGCCTTTAAGGAAATCAAGAAGTGCAGGATAATCTTGTGAATCAACAACAACCAAGACATCCTTGTGATTCTGTTTAAATGAATGTGTTATTTACAATACAAAATAATTAAAACAAAAAATGGCATAACCTATTCAACTTGTCTGTTATGGAATGATTAATACATGTACTTCAAGTACTGCACTTGTGGAGTGGAAACAAGCTGGAAGCTAACTTTGATTTAAGACTACAATCAACCCTAATTTTATAAAACCTAAATTGACAAGTTGAGTTGCCATTCATTATCAGTTTCGTTCAATTACCTATTCAGCTTTGCTCTTTTATCAACTTGGTCACAAATAAGACTATTTATTGGAACGTGAAACTAACAAAAATGATTCAAGTTAATACACACTTGGGGCCAAGAAATACACCATGAGACTACAACTTCACTACCGACTCATTAACAATTACCTTTGCAGCAGCTCTAATCATGGCTGGGCCACCAATATCAATATTCTCTATGCCGTCTTCAAAGTCAATTCCTCCAGAAGTAACTTTATCATAAAAAGGATACAAGTTCACAACCACCACATCAAATGTACCTGAAGAGAAACTATTTTAGCTAAAAGAAAAAAAAAAAAAAAAGCAAAGCATGAAAAAATATTGGGAAAAAAGCCCTTATGCATAGAAAAGTTTCACCACAAGTTTAAAACTCACCAATTCCATGCTTGTTAAGAGCTTCCATGTGATGTTTTCGGTCTCTTCTAGCAAGAATACCACCATGTATGTTGGGATGCAATGTTTTCACACGACCATCAAGCTGTAAAAGACAATACAGTTAATCTTCAAACTCAAACAGCTTTCAAGCTGAAATCAACCGGAAGGCATAATAGTGTTGACATCAAATCATCAGGAAACCATGGTGATCAATCATTATTCATTAACAGAGAAGATAAGTTTAATCTCATTTTCCAATGAAAATATTAGCAAAACAGATTAAAAAAAAAAATGCTCGAGTAGCAGCAACAGCAAAAGCTTCATAAACTATCATTGACGATGTCAAAATCACTTCAGTCTGAATCCTTTTCTCCCCTTAAATAGTCCTAGAAACTCAAATAAAGGACGTGAAATGTGAAACCAAAAAAAAAAAGAGAGAGAGAGGTTTAAGCAGGATAGTACAGCACAAAATAAGAACCAGATTACCATTTCAGGGAAACAAGTAAGCTGCTCCACTTTGGTTACAGAGACACAATCATTTTCTAAGGCAGATGCAGTTCCTCCAGTTGAAACAATTGTGTACCTATAGTTTCCAAAGAAGCAAGTTCAAACCAAACAGGATTCAAAACAGCTGCTTTACATTTTGTACTGATATTGATAACACAGACCCTAACAACTCCAAATGAAAAAGTTTTCTTGAACAGAATTGAGTGTGTAAATGACGCCATATTCATGTCAGTTTGTCCTAGTATCATTGTTGATTGTATCATAGGGTTACTTTCTAATTTCCCCTAGCAGTCTTCAATACTCAATATTAAAGGATTTAAGAAAAAGAAAAAACAGAGATTAAGTAATAACAGTCCATAGAAGAAACAAATTATGAAAATATCCAAAAAAAGGTGTCATTTATTTACCCTAATTCTTGAAGGCCGGTGCCAAGAAAGGCCAGGTCTTTCTTGTCAGACAAAGATATCAGTGCTTGCTTATTGCCTGACAGAGAGCAGAAAAGCCATCAAAAGCCATCTCTTTGTTTTTGTTTTTTCAGAAACAATAGAGAGGAACACTG